CTTGGACGAAAGCCCGAAACTTGCGTATCAATCCGTGAATCCTTGAAAGGCTCTGTGTTGGGATCACTTCTGTTTCTGATCTACGTCAATGACTGCTCTTTCGCTTATGTCACAGCAAAACTGTATCTCCGAGGGACGCGTAATGCCAGAACCAGAAGGCAAAACAAAGTCGGAGCTGGTTTCCATGTGGCACTGTTATTGTGAGGTATAGTTTCACAGAGAATACAGACCTCGACAGTGAATACTCGTTCACAACAAACGGTCCACTCGGACTATGAAGCTACAAGCTAAAGGAACAGGGTTTCCACGCGAGACAGTCACACGTGCGTAAGGTGGACCACAAAATGGCTGAATGACTTCAAGGTCAAATGAGTGAAGGGCAAGGGCAAAAACATTTCGTACGCACACACTGAACACGAAGTTGGGGCGCGAGTTGAAAATAGGGACAGGAGAAACGTGGGAAATTTCGAGTGTCCAGGGAATGGACGATAAACTGCCCACCAAGCTCTCCAGGTTGACTCAGCGAACGTCCCGGTTCTTTCACTCTACCTATGCTCAGTTGCTTTCTTGGGTAATAATAATAACACTTATTCCAAACTGGTGGGTGACATGCAGTCAGGCATGATCATAATGTTACAGACAGAATAAAGCGTGACTAGCAGGATTTGCTGGTATTGGGGATTGTGTAGAAAAGGGACGGTCACCGTAACTACTGCTTTTGTGGGGAATATCAAACTGAAGCAAGACCAGACCTTCAGATCTGAGGGTCGTGAGCAAAACCCAATCTAGGGAAGGCAAAACTACAAGCACCTTATCTGACACATGACAAGAAAAACTGTAAATTAAGGAAAGTGAGGAACCAGGCCAACAAATGTGGTGAAGCAGTAGACTTGGCGTAAATCAGCCGTTTCGTTTGAACTAGAAACTAAAACCACCGCTGAGACCTCGTGGCCCTGGACTGTTAGGCTTATAGACAGGGTCACTAAAAGCGTGAGAGAGATAAAGTGGAGTTATTAGCAATGAGGATACATGCTAAGAGGAACCTCAGAATCAAGGTATACAGTGAAACTAGAGACTCAATGAGGTCGCTCTTGTGGGGGGTCGGGTTGGTGTAATGTACGGGTTGTTGTGTGCTGTGTGTTATCCACCGTCTTTAGGAGCTTCGAAGACAGCATAAGGAATGTTGATGTCCGTAAACAGTCTCGAACAATCCAAATCAAAGAGAATTTTCCTGACCGATTTTTACATGTCAGGGCGAAGACTGAAGTGTTTGTGATGTAGTGGTCTGGCTACCCAATAAGTTAGTTTACCAGGAGTGTGTGGTAAAGGAACAAAAATGATTACGCTAGGTTGGGTATACAAAAATAAAGAGATCAGATGGAACAGACTCACTAACGGTTGTTCCCTTTAAAATAGTTCGTCGGTCAGGCATGATCATAATGTTACAGACAGAATAAAGCGTGACTAGCAGGATTTGCTGGTATTGGGGATTGTGTAGAAAAGGGACGGTCACCGTAACTACTGCTTTTGTGGGGAATATCAAACTGAAGCAAGACCAGACCTTCAGATCTGAGGGTCGTGAGCAAAACCCAATCTAGGGAAGGCAAAACTACAAGCACCTTATCTGACACATGACAAGAAAAACTGTAAATTAAGGAAAGTGAGGAACCAGGCCAACAAATGTGGTGAAGCAGTAGACTTGGCGTAAATCAGCCGTTTCGTTTGAACTAGAAACTAAAACCACCGCTGAGACCTCGTGGCCCTGGACTGTTAGGCTTATAGACAGGGTCACTAAAAGCGTGAGAGAGATAAGGTGAAGTTATTAGCAATGAGGATACATGCTAAGAGGAACCTCAGAATCAAGGTATACAGTGAAACTAGAGACTCAATGAGGTCGCTCTTGTAGGGGGTCGGGTTGGTGTAATGTACGGGTTGTTGTGTGCTGTGTGTTATCCACCGTCTTTAGGAGCTTCGAAGACAGCATAAGGAATGTTGATGTCCGTAAACAGTCTCGAACAATCCAAATCAAAGAGAATTTTCCTGACCGATTTTTACATGTCAGGGCGAAGACTGAAGTGTTTGTGATGTAGTGGTCTGGCTACCCAATAAGTTAGTTTACCAGGAGTGTGTGGTAAAGGAACAAAAATGATTACGCTAGGTTGGGTATACAAAAATAAAGAGATCAGATGGAACAGACTCACTAACGGTTGTTCCCTTTAAAATAGTTCGTCGTTGGCCCAGGTCAGCGAATAAACAATAAGACAACTATGTTGGTCCAGAGGTCTTCCTCTGAACAGTTCCCACATATAATAGATTCCGAAGATGTCTGAAATGTTTTGGTACCAGAGTTAGTACATGAGACTCGCGAATGGCCGCTGCAAGCGCGAGCGAAATCAGAAGAGAGAGTCAAAGCACGTGACCGCGCTTGTATTATGTGAAATTGTACAAGTGCGTGTTTTTGCAGTTTTTCGTATTCAAACAAAAAACGATTATGCAATTGATGAAATACGTAGTGTTATAATGGAAGTAAAATAAAGGTACAGAACGTCACAGTGATTTAGCATCCTTTCCAACCGGAGTTTGTTGGTGGTGCCGCTCACGAACAAGTTTTCCATCAGCGATCCGACAAATGCGGTGTTGAGTGGAATTCGCAAAAGTTCTGTGAATACCCTGTGTCCCAAGTTAGCTACGGTCTATCTTGAATTAGAAGTTGATGAACCAGATTTCGGGCGTTCATCTTTCGACAGCTGTACTGTACGGAGTTAAATCCTAGAGGTGGTAAGAGTTCTCGGTCTGATAAGAGTCTAACAACAGTCACCAGTATTTGTAAATTTTCTCCTTAAGGGCAGCAGAAATGAGCGTGAATCGAAAGCAGCGGCGTAATCAGAAAGCTACAGGCGATGAACTAGAAGTCATGGGTGTTGCGGTGCAATGCAATTATTTTACAAAGTTCGTCCTTCCTCAAACTCCCGATCGTTCATCGCATCGTCAGATGCACCTCATTTACCTTTGCTATGTCGTTGTCTCTCCAACAGCCGGAATTCAACTTTCCGCTCTTATCCAGCACACACGTCAGAGCGCAGTATATGAGCCGAGACAGTATGCCCGCAGTTGATAGGTATGGGATTCCCTGGTCGAAGTTCACGTGGGAGTACCAGGTGACGGATATGATGATAAAGTTCTCCGTAACAATTTTGAATGATGATTTCGCTCAGATGAATTCCCCCGTGAAATGAAAATTCGTGACCTGGTTTGAGAAAATCGCCATCACATCAAGACGAATGAGGTCCTCCAGTATCGATATGACGAAAAAGTAGAAGGATGAATTGACGTTTTCACGAAGTTCCATCACCTGGCCCACCTAAAAAATGATCGTGTCCATGTAACATGTGGAAAATTGTACGGAGACCTTCATTTCAGGCCGCCAGCTTGAAAGTAAAACATGAACTATTGGGATACTCCAACATCCCAGTATCTGTGACAGTAAGTAAAGCTCGTCGTGCGGACAGCATTTTCAAAAGGACAACTTCGACTAATCTTGTCTCTTTTGTTCACAGCAGAGGAACATGAAGTAGTGCTTCATATAACTTCGTATTTTAAAATGTTAGTATAAACACGTTATGTGTTCAAACATGTGGTGTAAACAGTTCTTGGTGGTGATCTGCAAACACCCACCACCTGTCCAAAGTACTGAAACCTCCAATTCTGCTTTCTAGGCTGCTCAGTCGGATCTCCCTGATGAACTCCCTGATAGGCTTGTCGCATTTCTTAGCTCAACTCGGAGACTCGACTGAATGTCTCGCTTGAGTCTCCCATGGAAACCGAAATTATTCGCAAATGAGTGCAATCTGGGTTCAAGTATAAGACAAGGTTGACGAAAACTTATGGACTGCACATACCTGATGAGCCCCAAGAAGGGCCAAACCTGTTGTGGGCTGTCGACGGTTCAAAGCTTGTTTCACCGACCCAATTGATCAACCTATCCTATCACAGTTAGTTGGTATCCACAGAATCCAAGTTCTAACATGTAGGATAGAAATCCCCAAGTCTGAGCAAGCATACATAGACCTATCTGACCATTGTTGTCAAATTCACTCTTCCATCAGTATCACTAGCGAGTCGTAGGAGTAATATAAACAGACCAGGGATTGAATCTAATTCGATCCAGCTGAAAACCTCACCTACTTTTGTGTCATTCAAAGCATGATTTTGAACCCATTGCCGTTCATGGAGCTCACGTCCAGTCTCCCAAACTCACCTAACAATCGGCTATCTTTCGCTTCACCTCAAGTGGTGCGCCAACTTTCTCTCCTGATGTTTCCCATCTTTAAGCGCACGAAAAATCCTATTGTCACATTTAGGCAGAATATCAGTTATTAGTGGCTCGTTGAGCTGTCTCGTGGATTTCGTGCTGCAAACAGCTGATTAGAGTCATTATGATCTGGCCTGATAAGATCAGGGATACGACAGCAGCCAACAGGACTTGAAACTGCAACCAAGAACGAAAATCAAAAAGGCTTCTTGTCTCACCATCTGCCAAGACTTTGAAGGATCCTTGTTGGTAACCACACTGGTTAGGTGCCTGTTCTATCCTACCAGCCAGCCCGGCTTACTCAACACGGCTGCGACGACCGTGAGACACACTATTAATGGACGGGGACGCAGTGGTGAGTCGCACCGTCCATCCATCTCCAGTGCTGCGTCATAACAATCAGTTCATAACAATCAGGCCATAACAATCAGTTCATGTCCTGATTCTGATTCACTGAGCTGATCGGTAGACGTGATGCCCAAGCATGGTGTTTAGTGGACGAGGGCCAGTGTCCACCGGCCGGGAAGTGGTCTGATAGACTGTCTAGTACGCCGTCTACTGCCTATCTGACAGTTGTAGCGGACTAGGACCTTATCAGCGTGTTCGGATAAATTAACAAGCAAAAGTAACCGATACAAAATCACAAAATCACAATAGGAAAGGAATGAGTAGTCAAATGGGGACTCACGAATGTATAGGTCCAATAGTCCACTACACCAGTACAAATGCAGTAACTTGCTGTGAAAGGAATTATTCACTTGTCGAAAGTTCCCACAGATGGTTCCGCGTGAGTGATATATTCCACGGTAGGAAAATTATTCACGGCTAAAAAATGTCACAGGGGTTTATTGTGACGTTCAACAGTTGACACAAACAGAGATTCAGTCCCACTGGTTTAGCAGTCAACAAACAGTTCAATGGAGCGTAAATACACTCGTTCAGCAAGAAGCCAGCAGGTCGCACCAGAAAATTGTGTATTCGTAACATTAAAACAAACGTCATGATACAATGTGAACGACAGTTACAAAGTGTGGTTCAAGTTCAGGAAGAATGGTAAATGTGACAACGGATTACAGACACTACACAGTACTGCCATCACTTGGTTTAGCCCAGAGCTCTGGCTAGGTTGAAATTATTGCAGTGAACTCACAAGGCTACGATGGGCCTAACAAAGGCTGGTGATGTCACGATGTACGCTTTTTTGGTTTAGCCCAGAGCTCTGGCTAGGTTGGAATTATTGCAGTGAACTCACAAGGCTACAATGGGCCTAACAAAGGCTGGTGATGTCAACAACAAAATCGCCAGTTCCTGAAGACACAGCAGCATGACCTTTTGCTCTCCCCCAAAACTGAGTCACTCTATTTTGTCAACTAACTGTGAAACCAAATCACTCGATCCAGTGACTAAAAAATTGGAGTGAAAACTAGAATTTCCATCATGAATACATTGAAAAGACGAGCTATTCTGTAGCTGCACAACCGATAAAGTGAAGTACCGATGGCGATTTTCAATAAACTATATAGTGCCTCCAGGCTTTTTAGCATAAATTGGTATCACTGACAGGGGGAAATCTCAGTGGGAAATTAAATTTGGTAAATGTTTATGGAATTTATGAAATTTATGGAATTTATGAAATTTCGAGCGGTGAATCATATTACACATTTAATGTTGTTTTATGAAAAGTACTATCTTAAAACTGTCCTTCAGTTACAGTACACTTTACTGCGTAGCTGTTGGACAACCGCAGCACTTTGATAACAATGTATTCATTGATTTTTGAGATGGAAATGGCCTTCTATTTGTGAATTTACACTCACTGTACACTTTCGCATTAACAGTCTTCTGTGTTCGATGTCGGTTAGGATAATCTATTATAACATTTGCGCAAGCTGGAACCAACCTGAGTTTCTTCACGGTTGTAGTGTTCTGGCTACCCAGTAAGTTAGTTTATCAGGAGTGTGTGGTAGAGGAATAAAAGTGATAACGCTAGATGAGGTATACAGTAATGAAGAGGTCAGATGGAACAGACTCACTGATAATTGTCCACTTTAAAATAGTTCGTCGTTGGCCCAGGTCAGCGAATAAACAATAAGCCAATCATGCTTGTTCAGGGGTCTTCTTCTGAATAGTTCCCACATAATAGATTTCGAAGATAGTCTGAAACGCTTTGGTACCAGAGTTAGTACATGAGACTCGCGAATGACCGCTGTAAGCGCGAGCGAAATTAGAAGAGAGAGAGAGTCGGAGCACGTGACCACGTTTGTATTGGGTGAAATTGTACAAGTGCGCGTTTTTGTAGTTTTTCGTATTCAAGTGAAAAACAGTTATGCAATTGACAAGATACGTAATGTTATAATGGAAGCAACATAAAGGTACAAAAGACCACACAGTGTATGGGGACGATGACCCGGTTTAACAGACTCGGGTGACGAACTGCGGAAGCATTGCGCACTTGGTCACCAAGTGCTATCCTAATTTGTGGCCCTTCATTGGATTTCGCATACTTGGTGTAACGGGGTTTGACCAAACTGGAAGTGCGAAGCTGCCGCAGCTACTCATTGTGTCGGTTTTCACTGAATCAGTTATGACAAAGAAGAGATGCCAGCAAGTAGACTGCAGCACTCCGATTACACACCATTGTCAAAGCACGTGTCATACGAAGAGTCCCTCACAATGGATGCACCACCAAATGGTGCAACGTCAGTCCACTACGCACTGATGACATCACCTCGACTGGTGATGAAAGTACTGTGACGAGATTTCCAAGCAGATAGAACAGAACACCAACGATCTATGTAGCCCGAGCTACCGAAATTTCCCTCAATATTTAAATCAATGATAGCAGCTTAATGAAACCGCTGCCAATGTCGGGTGTTGTAGGCATACATATATGCCTATGTTTTCTGTGCCCTGGTCGGACTGTATTGGTTATGTCAGGGAATATTGGATGAGGAAAATTATTTTGAATATGCCTCCCGCACATAACTGCTCTTTGTTCGAACGCTTTATGCTGATGGATATTCCTTCTGCGTGGAAATCGATAACTGAAAATACAGGCCAAAAGAAATCATCCTTTCCTGGGTAATCTTGTTTCGAATGCGTTTTTTATGGAAGCGAGCCAACATATAATTTTAAAGTCTCGTTCCTAGTTTTGAAGGGGATATGAAAGCTTCAGGTGGACGAAGGCCACGTGATGAGGTACTTAGTTTTGCTAGTCCTCATATGTTTTCCAACCACCGGTAACGTAATCACAACGCCGGTCTAACTCTCATGGATCAATAGCTCGTCCAAATGTTTGGTACCATACGGGTTCAAAGTTAGAGAACCACTCCAGTGTGTTTCGGAAGGAACCAAAATGAAGTATGAAATGGTTGCAATTGCTGTATGACGCCATCAATTTACTTTAGTAGAAGGTTCTGCGATGGCTGTCCCAAGGCACCAGTCCCACCTCAAACAAATAAACTGCAACCAAATTAATGTGTGCCACCGTACAGGTGACAAGGACAAATGCCTCCAGATAACTGCTCATCACGGACATTTGTAATAGCCAAACCAACAGATTTTACGAGTAGCAAACTCTTAGAATTCGATCTAGTGTATATCTTCCAAGTGCAAATTTGAGGGTTCTTGGTCACGTGGTCACACAAGTTAGGAGCCCGATGAGTGATAATATAACCGCAGAACTTTCTGTCCGCACGACAAACAAATGATCCGTTCTGTTTGCAGTTTATTTCAAGTAAAGAACGGCTGGTACATAAGACGTCTGCCACAGGTTTTTCTCTAGGCTTGCCTTACAAGCAGGGACAATGATTTCCGATCCTTATTGGTCAGCGGATGCAGTCCAACGACCAATAATAACGTTGCGAAACGGCCTCACAGAGTTTGAAGCGGCAGCAACTGGAATTCGATAGCTTTCAAAGAAACCGTGAACGGAAGAGAACACACAAAATTGTTGGTAAGTTATGGTTACTTGCCGTTCAGTTGTTGTGGCGACATCTGAGAAAAGTTTCCTCACACTATGGAGATAAGCTTTGAGAAACAAAGTTTAGTATCTTCGGCGGGTTGTCAGGTAATGGGATTCACGAAACGGTTTGAAATGCGGGTTGTCAGGTTTTCATATCAAACCTTGGGGCAAGTCGTAAGGAAAACGCAACAGCCCTGATTCATTCAGGTTTTAAAGCCACCTCCTAATACTGGATATTAATTGACAGATCCCACTGAAGAACCATTTCAATATGACACGTAGGTTCAAGCTCCTTCCTACTGAAGTATTTGGACATCTATCCACACTGTATAACACCAGACTTAAACAGGGTAGGCTCTGACTGAGTTCAAAGGTAAAGCACAGCGCAGTCTTTTTTGTGCCCCATTCAGAGTAATTACCCACCTACCTGTTGCTCTTCGAACCGGAATTGAACAACAGTCACATACTCCTTCAATTGCAATTTTTCGACATATCATTATGGCAAATTTTTGTCGATTTTTAGCGTATTATCATCGGTATGCATTTTCATGAACGGTCGGTTTATTTGCTCTTCAAATTCACCGAGTTTCTCCGCGTTCACCCCATTATTTGACGGTAAAAATATCACAGCTATATGTCAGGACAATAGGTATGCAAATACCGTCGTGGTGGATATAAAAAACCACCGATTTTTCACGGCATGGAGTTGAAGTAGTCACTGAAATCCTGATAACATTTACGATTGACATGAAGCAGGAAATGGATCTCTAACTGAGATTTCGTCCCACAAGTGAGGCCAGGCTGTGCCGAAGGGTCGAAAAGCACCGCATAGCTGTTTCATCCTTAGTGGGAATCATCAGTAGTTTGCATCTGACTAGACTCCACGGAGCTTCGAATCCGTGTCCTTCCGGTTAGTAGTTTGTATTTTTAACCGCTTGGCTAAGAAAGGTTGGTCAGTAGTGTCATTAACTAGCAATAAGACAGGATAAAGTGCCATTCATCCCCAAAGATGATCGATACCTCTTTCAGGGAATTTTCAATCAGTCACTATATGACCGCGTGATGTGGTCATGTGGTTTAAGGATGAGCGTCACTGAATTTCGTCTAAGTGCGAGCTGATCACACAGCCATCTGTCGCTAACCGGTTGACTGTTTAAACCATTAACCCAGAGGTTGTAGGTTAGGAACTCCATAGGTGGTACACAGTGTATTCGTAATGCCTTACTCATAAGGTCGACAGCCCACGATCGGTTTCACTCTTCTTGGGGCTCATCAGGTAGGCGCAGTTCTAGAGTTTCCGTCAACCTTATGTTCTACTTGAAACCAAATTGCACAAAATTAGCGAAATACACTCATTTGCACTCATATGCAGGCTTTCTATATAAATCACGATTTGATCCATATCCCTATGAATAGCTCTCAGTAGGATGTACACGCAATCCCCTGCTAGTCACCGGACAAACTCTGCCGCACTTGGATTGCCCCACGTTTTGTTCCTGTGATCAGTCTATTTGCACTGTGAATTCTAATCCCTCACAGATGGGTAAAAATGGTTGAACAGGCGGACCAGCAGTGAGACCCCTAAACAAGACTCCACTAGAAACCATGCTCTATTTTCTAGATGTTTTTGGAGAGTGGAACATTGACTATTAAAATGCATTGTACTCGTAGAGTGGTACTAGCGTCGGGAGCACGGATAATGAACCTAAATTATAACTGAATTTAAAGTAGATTATGGTTGATCTAATATGATACGAGGGAAGAACCAGAGAAAACCCTTCAAGAAACTCCCACATAATTTAGCCGTTTTGAACATGAACTGCCACAAGTTAGTGGAAACCGCGGGCCTAAATGGCCGGGAGGATAAGACCTTGGGCGGTAATTTCGAAGGCCGGCCTCTGGCCTCCCCATTGGGACTTTCAAATTGGCTACCGGCCTCCATTATGATAACTTGCCCACATTTTACTTCAGAAATAAATTTGTAAAACGGACCTGTGTATCAGCAAAGAGCTGAATTACCCTTATCAAACTATTTGTGGTGACTGATTTGTACCATACTGCTCTTCGGGCACGTAGCTCACATAAGACACGCAATAAAAAACACACTGATATCGTAGCAAATTTAGGCGGACTTTGGAGTGGCTTTAAATAAGTACAGAGACATACTGCCAAGAAAAACCCTAGAGTAGTGAAGCAAAGTGATAGGAAGAAGAGAAGAGCACGTTCCGCGACGAGTAGAACATAAGGTTTACGGAAAGTCGGGAACCATGCCTGCCCGATAAGCCCCAAGAAGCGCCAATCTGGTCGTGGGCTGACGATGAGCCTTCAGCAACCTTATGAGTGGTGTATTATGTCTATACAAGGTATTACGAAATCTCGAATACCGTACGAACCAAAACATGAGGCGGCCTGGTGCGGCACGTTCATTTGGAAAGCGCATTATAAACGAGATGTTTAGCTGGGTTCCAGATGAATCTTCCGTCAAAGCCAAATTGGTACGCACCTGAGTGCATAAGTCAACTTCTGTGCAATCTGTGTTCACTTTGAACAAAAACGTCGACGGATACTCGGGGACTGCACCTACCTGATGAGCCTGAATGAGGGTGAAACCGGTCGTGGGATGTCGCAGAGTTTTCAGCAACCTTGTGAGTAGTTTCTATTCTGAAATTATACTGAGATATTACGAATATTGTACCAACTGAAACATGAGGCGGCCTGATGCAACACATCCACTTGTTTAAGATCATCATAAGATTCAAATTGGTTCCAGGTGAATCTCCCGTCCAAATCTATATTTACTTTGCATAAAGACCATTTGCTCAACTCACTCATTTGAATTTCGTTTTCAGCTAGAACAAACGTCTTCATCTTGTCAAAGATTTTGTGTGGTCATACGTTTATTACATGGATGACTTAAACAATGCTACGCTATTCCGTGTCACATGTTCTTAGTATGTCCAAGCAATACGAACAGTTCCATCCGAATGCTCACCGTGACATGTCCGATGATGTGGATAACCTATTCCCCCAAACAGACTCAGATTCGTACACAAATCAACAGATACCGCAAAGCAACGGGGCCCCTACATCGAAGTCGAGTCAACCTCCAAGCCTAATAAACGAATCACCTAAACGGTCCAAAAAAGGGTATCAGTCTTTGAAACAAAGATTACACAATGCACACTTCTTCATTGGGAATCGCTTTAAAAAGACAAGTGAAAAACCATCAAAAATGGATCAGCAGTCTAGCTCCAAGTGCGAAAAGGTACCTGAAAATTTGATGGATACTGCTCAGTTATGCGATAACTTTCAGAAATTAAGTACAAGACAACGTTGTGCAAGCTTAGAAAAACTGACTGTACCACATGAGAGACCCAATCTACCTCAGATTATGAGAACACGGGATGATAATTCCTCTGATCAAATGCCTGACTACCCTCTTAACGGTCCCTCATATACCGCTGATGAAATTCTATCACACGCGTTCCCAAGGACATTACTTCAGGAGCCACACTGGAATCGCAGGCCTAGTCAAATTTCGCTATGGGATACACAGCGTGACGCGTTACCGGGATCGGTGCGGAACAGCACGACTGGTTTGTCCTGTACACAATCACAAATGGGTGAATGCTTCTCAGAGTTGACGGCGGCGTATCATCTCATTTTAATTGGTCTCGGAGAAGACCCACAAAGACAAGGTCTAATCAAGACACCAGAACGTGCTGCCAGGGCAATGCTCTACTTTACCAAAGGCTACGAGGAGCGTGTAAGCGACTTGCTGAATGGAGCCATTTTTGATGAAGATCATAACGAGATAGTGGTGGTGAAGGATATTGAAATGTTTTCAATGTGCGAACATCACCTAATCCCGTTTATTGGGAAAGTTTCCATCGGGTACCTACCTAACAGGAAAGTCATTGGACTTAGCAAACTTGCTCGGATTGTGGAAGTATATTCGAGGCGATTGCAGGTGCAAGAACGCCTGACCAGGCAGATTGCTGTTGCCCTGACCGAAGCAGTAAAGCCAGTCGGTGTTGGTGTGATAATTGAGGCAACCCATATGTGTATGGTGATGCGTGGAGTCCAGAAGGTCAATGCGACTACCGTTACTAGTACTCTGTTGGGTGCGTTCAAGGAGGACACAAAAATACGCGATGAATTTCTCGGACTTTTGGGGAAGAAGTAGAATTTGTTCAGCTCATATTCGTGACTTAGTGTCCAATCGCAGTCAACATGATATCAGAAAATTTATTCCCATTATTTTGTCATGGAAAGACAAGCAAACAACACGCAGTTAGTCCGAGAGCAGCCCATGTACTTTGTCCTAAAAATCAACATTCTGCAATGATGTTTATGGTATCGTTTTAATTATGCGATATCAAATTAACCAAGTTGAAATACAATCCTATTGCTTTTGTGACCGAGTTATACGCGTCCACTGAAATTGATAGCTTATGGAAAAGGTGGCCTGGATTTCAGACCACTTGTGACCGCGTTTGAAGCAGTGATCTATTTCCAACGCGATCAGGTTTTTCAATCTGTCGATAGTTCAATCGTCGACATCCAAGTCACCCGTGCACGCTGGACGCGCCTGAATTGTCACATATGAACAGGTCAACATGTTTACATGTTGTACAATGTGATTGTTTTCCTCTACGAACCGATAAGAAACGGGGAACACGTAAATTCTATAACTAACTGAAGGTTTCAAGAAATACCTGACTAAAAGCTTCTGACTAGAGGGCTCATCGAATAGCCCAGCGATTAGTTCAAACGAAGTCAGTCACGTCGTCGCTGAAATTATAACATTCTTGTCTGTTTAAGGATTACTATTCTAGTTTCTGCAGCATATCATGATAGAATAGTGGAAGTCTACTCTCTGGGGTTCAAACATCAAAACGAACGAGATTGTGCACTAGTGAATAGGCCTATTAAGAACGAAACTAAGCCTCATCACCTCCAGCCTTCTGATGTGGACCGACCAGATTGATCGATTCAGATCAAGGAGAGGTATATTCAAGCGATATGTCAGTAGTCAGTTAGAATACTTTGTGTCACTTGCGGGAAACGAAAAGAGTTTAAAATCCTTTACCAAATTATACACAGTATACAAGACGATCCTAGGGAGATGCGGTCAAAATCAACCACTTGATAGTTGGACATGATACATGTACCCGTCAGTCTAGCTTAAACTAAGTCGTTTACTGCGTACCGGTTAAATTGATCACAAGAGAGCGAGTCTTACGGTCTACACCGATTATATTAGCGGGTTTCTGTGGAAATGCCATAGACTACCGGAGGACAAATTACCGAGCCATTACGATCACGTGGACACGCTGACGGAATTCATACAGAAATGGGTGAATGTAAATGTGGGCTCTGTAGCATTCACACTCACCTCACCATCATTTGAACAGCTCTTATTCTGTCCTATCGGGTGAGTTCAAGCCATGACTCGAGTTTTGCTCTTATTAGATCTCAACAGTGGTAGACATCCCTGATCGTGGCGGGGTTTGCAATACGGATATCTGACAGAAGAAGGAGCATGTTACTAGCATTCAGTTATTGCTTGTGAGCTCTAATAAGAGCAAAACTCGTGATCGATTCGGAGTGGACTCTCGAAAACAGTGTGCAAGGCAGAAAGAAGGCTGGCCAAATGAGAATGATGTGAATGTGTATTCGGACCCAGAAAATAGAGAGGACAAATCATTGTCAAATAATTTACAACCATTAAAATAGACAGGAAGCATCGACTTCATCTACTGTTATAAAATCTTGCACTTTCCTGCACAGAAGTGGTGGGAACTGCAAAGAAAATCACTTTGATAAAGATCAATTTTTTGTAGGCACAGGAGCATCAATAAAAATACAGTTTTGGCCCTCGTGTTTATGCAAGTTTGCATAATCCAGGGAAAATGTTGCATCAAACTCAGTATGACGAGAAGCCCATCAAAATATCGATTTGGGACATTTTCTGCGTGTAAACTTCAAACGGGGCTGTTTATTAACTCGCATTGACCGAAACCCAAACACGTTGGAGAACGAAGCCTCAAAGTTACAAGACCATTTGCTAGACCGAACCAGGCGAGACTAAATAACGTCCATTTATACATACCTACGTAACTGAATGATATTCACTTGTTACTGTTTTCAGCGTTCATCCATTGCAAGAGGAATTAGGCAGCGCCAAATTTGGACTAGCTTTGAGCATTGCCTTGTATGCAAATTTTTTCGCAGTCAGAAACAACTCCGTTCGCGGCAGCTGTTCTGAGAGCAGAGCGGAAGAATCTGTCACACCCACGCAGATAAGAGTGAAACCCCAATGTCGCGAAAACCCATGTTAGTTGGTTCAAAGAAACTTGACTGTCCCTTTGCAGATTTGTCGTCGGATTAGCGTGTCATGTGTAGAGCCCGAAATGTTTGCGGTAAACACACGTTGGGAGGTAGAACATGAACGCATCTCAATTTCGGCAAACAATAGCGATCGATTGACGGTGACTGGAACGATACAAAGAAAAATTACAATTAATTCAAAACTGAATAATGCGAGGATTTTTTTTACATCTGTGCTCTGTAAGCACAAAAATTGAATAATCTGAGTTGCGGTCGGTCTTGTGAAGGACGGGCTATTTATACTACTTCCGGAGGCAAAGGACTGGTATAAGATGTATCAGAAGACAGGTCAAGGAGAATAAATTGTTCGCCTTTTAATTCCTATGTATGTGAAGGTACCACTTTAGTTCAAACGATATTTACCAACTACTTTTTATAGTTTCTACTTAATTGCTGTGCAGCACACTTTAAGCCAAATACATCTGGACGCCATTGGCTGGGGATTATCATTAAACGGATTCGTCACCTATGTGGGAGTAATTCAATTGCGCGGAAAGCACTCAAAGAACAAAAGTCACTGGAAATTTGTGAATAGTGCATTTAGCGTAAAATTTTATTCACAGCACTAAAGAGAACAGGACTGTGTTTGCCGGTATTCCACTGTATATATTAGGCTAAGAAATTGGCAGAACCAGATATTCTGTCTATCAGTTGTCAAGCTCGTAAGTTGTCGGAATAACATCAGAAAAGCACTTTTAAACGTCACGGACCACCAGTCGGTGCGTAACTGGAACGAAACAGAAGCCTGCGTGGTGTAGGTCATTGGTGCGCTAATAACGTAAAATCAATAAATCAAACACTTATGGTCACGTGATTTCCACGGTGAGTGACTCTCTAGACGCCGACTGGCCATTGCTAACCTACGCTGAAATCGCGAACGGAAATGGCACCATTAAAGTGGCTTCAGTTAAATCGGTTTACTCTTTGGTAAATAGTGCCATTTGCCAGACCGTCACATTCTTCCCCGCTTTGACAGTCCAGCTGAAATTCGGTGAACAAGAGTGCAGAGTTTCGGAACTGGGCTAGCTGAAAGCCGAAATGTAGGTTTTCGGACGTAAACGTAATGTGGGATTTGGGCAAAGATTTCGATGGCCCTTCATCAGATTAGAGACCCTGAAGGCGAAGATAGATTTACAGGACAGCATCACTGTCAAATAGTAAACCTTCCGTTTTTTCTCCAGAGTATTTAATCTTTCAGGAAGAAACCCAAAGAGGCGTGTAAACTCTAACCAATATCGGACCAGCAAGCACAGTCAGCAGAATCTCACTACAACCGACCGATACCGCGCCAAATAATTTTTGATATGAAGCATCCTATGATGAAGAATCTTTCCATAAAATGTCATTCGTCACGCTCTTTCTAGGCAAACCAGGATTGCGAAGTTCCTTTTATAAACAGAATTGCACCAAAGAACCCTATTTGCTAGTTTGAATAACGTTACTGAGATTCATTCGTGAGGTCGGCTCACAGCAAAACATTCGACCGAAATTCCATTACTGAAAGATACAGTTGAATGTCGAGCTAAGGCCCTGTCGCTTCGCAAACTACTGCTATTAGTGCACAGGTGAGGTTAGCCATAACACAACTCAGAAGGTGTATGCACTAATAAGTATTTACTGTGGTTGACAGTAGTTTACAGAAGCGATTTGCAGAATATATAAAAATAAAGGCAATATAAGGTGTGGAGCAAGTCAAAATGGAACTTATCGTATGTGAGAGTCCCTTGGCGAAAGTCCGGACGGTGGGAACTTGTTTTCTCCGCAGTATTGCTGCTACACGTGTTCCATAATTGTCCGTGGACTTGTGATGTTTGGCTGACTCCTTGCTCTCTGCGCGCGCGCGAGTCTGTGTGCTGACTGTTCAGTTTCCGTATATGTAGGTCCGTTTGCGTACACGTGGGCGCGTCAGCACGAGTGGTTGCTACGCTCACTAGACGGTGCAGACAATCGACGTCTGATGAGTCACCTTAATGTGACGTGGCTGTGGGCATAAAAAAGACAAGTCTCGTGATCCAGTAAGCGATTGTGAGTTGAACAGTCAAGTGTGTGGGTGACTGGGTCGCTACACTGCTAACGTTTACGCTTACTTTTCCAAGTTCCCAAGCGAGAATCGCGGAAATGGTCTCCTGCTTACTTGCACCAGTTTATTGAAAACGCTGCTCACCGATATGTCATGACAAAATGAGTGAGTTTTCATAAAGGAAACTACTCACAAGTTTGCTAAGACCTGTTCAACAGCCCACGACCACTTTGCCCTTCTTGGGGCTCATAGGGTGGGTGCAGTCTTCGAGTCTCCGTTAACCTTACGTGCTACTTGAACCCAAATCGGACGGATTTCGACACATACGATCTTCTTTTATCAATTTTTGGTGGTTTCCTCCATGAAAATATACTGTGATATCGTACTAACTAAAGCATGAGGAGTCCTGTGCGCAGCACATTCAGTGGAAGAATATCACAAAATAGAGATTCAGTTAAGTCTCCCGTGAAAATTAAATTGATATGCAATTAAGGGTATTTGTCGAAATAACTGGGTTTTGTTTTGTGGCGGAGCATGGATCTGTAGGACAATGAAGCTTCATGATCTAGAAATAAGGGAACTACTCACAAGGTTGCTGAAAACTTTTCGACAGCCCACGACCGGTTTCGCCCTTCTTGGGGCTCATCAGGTAGGCGCAGCCCCCGAGTTTCCGTCGACCTTATGATCTACTTAGGCGAAACCGGTCGTGGGCTGTCGAAGAGTTTTCAGCAACCTTGTGAGTGGTTTCTTTTATGAAAATATGCTGCAATATCTCGTGTATCGTGCCAACTGAAACATGAGGCGGCCTGTGTGCAGCACTTTCAGTTGTAGAATATCATAAACGAGAGATTCACTGGATTCTCTCGTGAAAGCCAAATTGATTTGCAAATGAGTGTATTTCCCGGAAGCTTCAGTTTTATTCGCTGGTGGTGTTTTCATTGTTGATAAGCACGTGCCATAGGGGCTAGGGTTAGAGAAATTGACTTCATTTTACTACTCACTCGTTTGAGTAGAAGATTTTGGACGACTAGGAAGTTGGACTTTTTATGAAGGTCTGCGCCCATCGGCTATGCTCCTGGTTATGTAACGCTTCGATGTCGACTCCGTGTTTGACGGTCTCACGAGGACTAGCGTGAATGCACTTGGGTGGCGCGGCTACTGAAATCGATTGTGTTAAACACGAGATACCTCGGTGATCAGGAACCAATTACAATGAATTTATCTCATATCGGTGTCCAATTTCAATAAATCTTTAATCAAACTTTCACCTGTTGTCTCTATATTTTTTCGTGTCAACTTAGATATCCTAGTCTGGTCGTGAGTAAAATGGATGTTTGTAGAAGACAGAAGGATTACCACTAATTGCAAGCTTTAGCATGTTTACGATGTTCCCGTCTAACTGGATGGAAATCTGTGGAGATTTGCGAAATGTTCTTTCCATTAATCCAAGCAATGTTTCTTTTCTAAAAACAACGAGGTTGGGAATGTGAATTCCCCCCATTCGCTATACATTTTTCAAAGAGGTAGGCATTACCGATGTCGTCGTTTGTAGGCTCCATGAGTCCCACTGAGGGTGAAACGCCTCATTTCTACTTGTAACGTCCTAGTTTGATTGATAGAATCGCTTCTTTGGGATGAGTAGACGGTGACAGATTAAGAGAGAGTAGTTTTGTTGCCTTTCTAATGGATTTTTCCTGGAACCAAGTCCCGTTATTTCTACCTGCTGGAACTCGTTTTGCGGTACCAGGTTGCGAACAAGCCCCTGGATTTCGCGGAGACAATGTTAGTTATGGAACTGCATATTGAAATGTGTGAATAAAAGCTTCGAGTGCTGGTATTTCTGTAAGCTACTGGGTTCCTAGACATAAAGCATCAACGCCTGGAATAAACCGTATATGCACACGACATGTCATATTTGTCTTGATAACAAGAAATCCAATCCTGATATGTTTTTCCGCCCCCTCAAAATCATCATTCCCGATCGATCTGCCTGATTCACTTTGACATTTGGGCGTTGAGACAGACGGGCGGTGTAGGACATTTACCAGCTGAACGGAAAGTGCATCGAAAAGTGATCGGCGGCTCAAAAAAGTCATTCTGATAAATAGTTTTTTGCAAGAAAATCGGAATAGTGACACATTTGCAAATATTTCTAGAGTTCTTTCCCCTCGTATTTAAATAGATAAACTCTGAATCAGATTTCGAAGCCAAGTAACAGTTTCATCGTCATCTGTACGGAAGCTGATTAAACGTCACCAGAAAATAACATGGCAACTCAGTGCAAACGTTTTTTTATTTCCAGAGATGATCAGTGATTTAGTGTTTTAGTTTTCATTAAAGTGCCGAAAAGCAGCTACTATTAAAAACACACTGATGCTGGTAAAATGTGACAGGTTATTCTACCACTCACTCCTGGTTTTATACATATCTCTTCATATTGGGTTGTGCTTTACTAGCACCCATGGTAATGAATTTTATCCACTCATCTTTGACGCGAAGGCATGCTAACTCGCTCGGTATGACTATCTCATCCTGTCACGTGATTTGAAATCATGCGGGTTTTCAGGCCCGTCCAGAAGCCACATAGGCTTCAACCATGACAGAACCCTGATTTTTTCTTTCCAAAACAAGGGCTTTTTGAGTTTATTGTTGCTTTATATCTACGACCGAAGATGAAATCCGTTTGGTTTTGGCATCTCTTTTGAAACAAACAGCACAGAACATCCACCCTACAAAGCACTTTAAACTTCATAATACGTTACTCAACATGTGTAATTCTTGTTTCCAACACCACGATGATCGTACACCTCAGTCAGTAAATATACGGGGTTAAACAACTCCGGCAAAAAGTTCGGGCCTTGTTTTCTTTAGCAAGACAAAAGCTTTCATGCCAATCATCCCAATAGGTCTTTCGATTTGAAGGCTGAACATTCAGAATGGCGTTCGTAAGTTACCGCAAATGCTTCTTTTGCGCACATTGGCGCAAATGTTTGATGGAAACTGTGCTCACTTCGCACCTTTCTACTGCGTACGCCCAAGAGTTTTTTCAGAGGCAGTTCAACTACGTGGGGAGTTTACACATCTGCGTTTTCGCGAGCCCTTAGACCGAGCTATATGCCATGGAAACCCTGGTTGCTCCATTCAGCCCAATGCAACTAAGTTGTTCTTCGGGCAATGAGTGCCTCAGTGGTTTCGATTAATCCTAATGCCAGTTATTAAGCAAAGGAGGTTATGTGGTTTGGAGTGTTACATTAAGACCGTGTCAGGAATGACAGATGTGCGTGAGAACCAATTTTCGAGTGTTTTTTCCATTTAGCTAGATCCTAGCTTCCTTAGTGGATCGTCCGAAAAATAACACGACTGTGGCCAGCTCATTTCACTCGCGTTCTCATCTAGCAACGAAGCTCTTCACTGACAAAACTATGCTGTTGTACAAACTTTACTCACAGTGATAAACACGTCAAGAGCGAGTACCTTAAAGAAGGGTTTGGAATCATTTCTGGGAATGACCTAGAATCTCACAGTAGACCCTAACCGACGAACAACGTCAATGTGATGTCTCCTAAGAAAATGACCTCTTTTCAGAAAGAGCTCCCCTAAGGGAGTTTCTGCACAGTTCAGTCATCTGATGTTAGGGGAGATGAGGGCCCACACAGGTGGCCGGGACCATGGGTGACAATGAGGGATCAGAAACAATGGAGAAATTCAAATTCATTGATCGGCCAGTATTTATTTCCTGGATTCCCTCCTCACCGAGGAATTGGCTTCAAAGTAGGATAGGACGATGCCGTGTGACCGAATTCTTCAGACGTTGACATTAGTGGCTGTAGTCGCATGACACTTAGTCTTACTTGCTGGCGGTGACCATTTAGAGGCTTTGTGGTCCTTCCGTGGATAGTGATCTTTGATTAACCTTGTTATGTATCATTTGCTACACTGAGTAATCCATCGTCACTATTTTCAAGGAGGCTTGTTTTGGTACTTTGTGGAAACCCGCGAGCTACCTACCTACCTACCCGAGGGGCAAAGCGGTCGTGGACTGTCGAAAAGTATAAGCAATCTTACGAACGACATGTTCCGTTTGGATGACATACTTCAACATCTCGAGTACCTCACCAAATGAAACACGAGGCAACCTTAGTGTAGCGTGTCCAGTTAAAGACTACAGCATAAACGAGTCTCCCGTTAACACCAACACATATGAATGTATTTAGGTCCTAGCGTAAAACTTGGGGTTCAGGAAGCATACCTGGTTAACGGAAACTGGGGGGAATTCAGCTACCCGTTGAGTCATAAGAAGGACGAAATGAACATTAGTCTGTCGAAGGGTTTCTGGTACATTTATGAATAGTACGTTATGTCAAGTTTATGGTCATGATTTGTTTTGGCTTAGATTCAATTAACATCTAGGAGTAGCAGAAAGAGCAAACCAGGTCGGGATTTCACCTTTACACCTTTGTAGCAGGATCCTATTGTAGAAGTAATGAAAAAATACCTGTGGTAATGGGGCAAATGTAGTGTAGCTAAAGTCATTCAGTCAACTGAATACTGAAAGCTACACAAGTTTTGTGCTACTCCACAAACCCTAATTCATTTGCGTCATACAGAATGTCAATAGATAGATGGTGGTTGGATTCCGACGATGGGAACTCAGTTAAGAACTCGAAAAGCGATCGCAGGTGGGAAGCAACTGAATGTGACCAACGATGGGTCATTACGCTCAAGACCAAGGGAGTAACCTGACGTACATTATTCGGGGCCGAGTTATCTTGCTACAGACAATTCATGGCGGAACGGTTTCGATAGGTCATTTTCGGGTTTGGTCGGGAAAAAGTCGAAAGCGTTCGAACCCCGTGGGTTGGTAATTTATGGTGCATGTGACACGTAATCGATCGTAAGACCTCTAATTTTTGACCTGCTAGGACGGTCTTCCCAAAGGTCGTAAAACACGCACAGAGGAAGCTGATATGAAGGCCGTCTCTTAGCTTCTTGACGAAGGCAACCACTAGTGGTAGGAATTCCGGACAGTTTCATTTAATATGCCCGGTGAGCAGCCACCGGTTTTCTCATTTGAACAGCTAGTACTAGGTGTCTTATGAAAAGGATGAGGAATCTGCAGGAAATTCACTCACACTTGACCAAACACTGACTTCGAAGAACTGCAAGGCCTTTAGTTTCACGTCAAGTTAGTTTACACATTCGGTTAGAGATTTTGTTCCCGTCAATGTATTTCTGATACGTCAACTTTTGAGAAGCCAACACCTTATTGTGGCTCCTCTGAGAATACATCCAAGAATTCATTCGGAACTAGTCCCTAGGAAAAGCACTAAACATCTGTATTCTTTGGTGTTTGTTTTAATACTATCGACCGTCAATCGAGAACTCACTGGAAACTGGACGACTAGCAATCGGCTGATGTTGATCTGACTGCACGCCCTTTGTGTGACGTCATTGGTCCGTGTTATCATCCAATGAGATTAGTCGCTCCGAAACATTTAGCGCAGTGGTGTCCACCAAATGGTGCGCTGCATACATCACTCAGCTGAATGTCGTCTACGGTATCGCTTGCACCTGTGGACTTAGTCAAGCGATTTGCAGATCTAAAATTCCAGGAACATCTAGTGAAAGCCTCATACGAAGCAAACAAGATTTCAGTTCCGCAATCTGATGGTGCGAGAGAGTGGCTTACCAACAGTACCGTCACCTATCACACATCCAACACATTTCCAAATTCAGAGCATTTCCGACCTCGTTCATCTTGTGAACCTGAACAACAAACAGCGTTCGATTTCTTATCTCATGAACTTGTTTCTGGCAGTCCGACACTGGAAAGGTGCTCCATACCGACAAGGGACGAACGAGTGGGTACGTGTTTTTCATTGCCAAAAACTTCTTCAGTTAAACTGGAAGTCCCCAA